TTGCTTCATTAACCCTCCTTTGCTGTGCTGATTAGTCGGTTTTGAGACGTGCCCAGACGGTTGTCAATTTATCCTGTGTATTAACAGGCAGCGTGACAGGCTCTTCCATATCCTTGAGCAACTCTGCCTTGGTTAAGGCGTAGTTGTACATTTTGATTTCATCCATGGCTCCGGTGAGAAAACGTCCACTGCCACCGCGGGCACCGATAAAAAGGGGATCGTCGTTCGGGTTCAACTCACCCTTGCACGGCATCTCTGCTTCCAGTTCGCCATCAATGTAGAGTAGAATATCTTTACCATCCCACGTTCCTGCGAGAAAATGCCATTCGCCATCCTGGATACTGGGACCAATATTATCGTCGTTACACGGCTCGGGTAAGTCGAAGAAACTGAAGGATGGTTCCACCGTTGTAGAGCGCGGCAAGGTTATACAGACCGGAACCCAAGCTGCCCCTTTTTCAACGCCGCTCTGGAGTGCTTCTCCGCCTTCAATAGTTGCCCAGAATTCGATGGTAAGCCCGTCGACTATATCAAGACTCGCATGGTCGGGAATCTGCCCGGAAGTTTTTCCATCAAATTCCAGTGCTTTTCCGAAAACGCCTTCAACAAGTTTGGGTGAACCTTTGAAGGTTGCGTCGTTACCGAATTCCGACCTGTCCTTTGCAACCTTTCCATCTAACGCATCAAAGGAGAGGTGCAGTACCAACTCTTGTGCCTCACAGACCGCTGAAACGCTTATCAAAATGAGAGAGAGTAACCAGAAAATAGCACGCTGTTTCAATCTTCGATCTCCTAAGAAAGATTATAAGCGACATCTTTACAGATGTCAACAAAAATTGAAAATCTCTAAACGGTTAATACAATTTTAAGATAGCAACAGTGAAAAAAAAAGTCAAGGATTTTCAGACATCACTTGGGGTATTTCGTTCTCGGTTGTCAGGTATCGGTAACGAAAAATCTTTTATTCCCGTGCTCCAAAAACGGAATATCGACACCTTTACATCGAAATGTATTGGAATAAGGCTGCTATATTAACAGCCGAATTCACGGAGTCTTCACGGAGGATTTTTTATAGTAGGTATTTCAGGTGCCTCTTAGACTTGTATCTGCTTTTTTTCTTCGTAAAAGCGAAGTTAGGTAATATTTATTTCAACGAATAGGTATTTATAAAACCAACCTTCCTAACCGAATTACCATTTTCTTGAAACAATTTTTCACGTGTGCTAATATGCATAGCACCTACTACCGTAAAAACGGAGGAATGGATAATGAGATGGACAAAGTATTGGGGGCTTGTGATGGTGGCGATGCTGGTAAGCACACCTGCTGTCTTCGCAGTCCATGATGAAGCTAAGGGACCTGAAAAATTTGGTCGTTATGAATTTCAAGGAGCAGGACATCAAAGAAGCAACAGATGAATGTGATGCCGGAGGCAAACCCGGACCCGAATTTGTGCCAACGGTTCGGGACAAAGAACCCAATTTGGCACTACTCAAAGATGCGAAAGGGGAAGCCTCTTCGCAGCTGGAGGGATGGTGTCCTCGTAGACACTGTACCGAATATCTCAATGACGGTTTTTACAACAACTGCCGGAGCTGGATTATCGGTGCAATACCGGGTTGGGCACAGATCGATATGGGTGATGTAGCCAATGTGAACCGCATTTACTTCGCCAGCGATCATTCGCAGGGATTTCTTGATAGGACAACGGCTGACTTTGATATCCTTGTCGCAACCTCGAAAGCGGATCCAAACTCCGATGCGGGAACGTGGACAAAGGTTTACACCCACAAGGGAGATCCAATTAGTGAAACCACCGAGTTTACCTTCAAAGATGTAGAGGC